TTATTTCTGTTTCATCAAATTCCGCAAAAACAATTCAAATATTTCTACCTCATTAGCGCCTTCCAACTCTTGTAAAAATACACAAGCTTGTTTTTGTTAGCCCGTTATGAATTTTAATGTATTTGAAAACGATGAAAGATCATTTAAAGCTTAACGTTTGGCAAATATTTCGTAGACTGTTTACAGTTTTGTCGCTTGTTTTGCAAAGTTGCAAAGAGTCCCACTGTCTGCCGCTTGGAAGTCGTAATTGTTTATGTAAAAGCAAAATTTCCGTGTGAAATACAATCCATATTTACAATTCTTCGTATTAATAATAAATTCCCTTTTGGGTGTGGATTTATATTTCAGTTTTTCCCAATTTTGGGAAGTTTTGATTTCTTTATAAACTATATTTACATTATTAAATCCTGAAGTATAAATATCAGTTTTAAATTGCAACAATTTCCGTCGGACTTTTTCCGGATGGGTGAGACGTCAAGTTTCCTTCAAAGAGTTTTGTATTTATCTCTATAATAGCATAATATTGCTAATCTTGGAAAACACTCAAAATGTTGGTTTAATCTGGTGATGTCATCTTGAGAACTTGCTCCACAGCATGCAAGCATTTGTGTTCTTATATATATGCAATGTATCAATTATATTTTGGAATCATACTCAGAGTGGGGCAAATTCTGGGCTAACCTGCTTAGGGGCGGACCATTAGAAAAAGTGGGGGGGCAAAAATAAGAAAGTTTGAAAAAAGAAATTCGTGCAGAAAGTTATAAGTTGAAATAAAAAAAATTCATGCAAGGGATTATATTTTAAAAAATTATCGACACAAGCAAAAAATTAAAATAAAATATTTGTACAAGTTGAAAAAGTCTCCCCCCCCCCCCCCCATCAGTTTTCTAATGGTCTGCCCCTTATCCAAACTGGCTAGTCAAGTTGTAGCAAAAAAATTGTGTATAAATTAGCATCATGGGAGAGTGTGTTTATTCTGCATTAGGCGTAAAAAAATACCTGTGGTTCCCGACAGACCCTATTTTTTTCTGCCAACCCTATTATTTTTTCAACGCGATTGACTTACCGACCCTATTTTTTCCAGGTGGTTCCGGGCTGCTCATACAGCGTGCCAAAATGGCGTCTGTTGTCACACTAATTATTGAACTAAATTGCCTAAATCTGTCCATAGGAAATACGCATCTCTAGTTGATATTGATGTCGGGACTCTACTGCAAATCGCCCAGTAGGTCCGACCTACCGACCCTAATTTTTTCACGATATGAAACCGGAACCACAGGTATTTTTTTACACCTTAGGGCTGATTTAAACGAGCGAAGATAAACTTTAGTCTAAATAAATTTGGGAACAATTCATACAAACATCGATGGCTCAACTTGTGTTCAAGATTCATGAATCATATGTCAAGATGCGTAGTCTCTCTGATGTATCATCCCAGGATTTTTTCAGGGATTTTTTAGGGCCGTAAAACGGCCCCAAAATCTCAATCTTGAATTGAGTTTTGAAACTCGATCTTCTCACCAAAGTTTCAGTGCAGTAAAAATGAAGTTGTTTGAGTTAAATTTGTGACGTGTGGAAATTAGTTTTCAGTTGGAAACCTGATGATTAAGAAAAAATGGCTGGAATTCATCTCACAACACAAGAAAAACTATGCATTTAACCAGTTTATAGTGTCCCTTAGTGCCCCTGCTTTAACACATTGTGTCTCAACTACATTTATTTAGTACAGGTGTCAGCCACCCAGGTGGGGGGGGGGGGGTGCAGCCACCCCAACTGTTTAGCTAAACTCAATCTTCTCTGCAAAAACGGATCCAAGAGAAAATCCGGAAAAAACCCCTGCATCCCTCTTGGTGTAGTTGAAAAAACACCGGGGAACTAGTTTGAATAGCGCAGTCTATACTGGATACAAGCTAGAACCCGCCAATAATTTAAGTAGGGGTGCACCGGAACCATTTTTTTAAGTTCCGGCCTGAACCGGATCTGGCCGGAACTGGAAAAAGGTCCGGCCGGAAGTTCTGGCCAGAACCGGAACTGATTTTTTAAGCCATATATAGTAATCTGTAGCCTCCTCCGCAGGCATCTCGGTTCACTCACTTCAGATTTTTTCCTACAAGAAATTTTGCCCGATAATCGAAAGACGCCTGAGGAGGAGGCTAAGTAATCTGCTGCCAGACAGGCAGACACTTCAAGTCATCAAGGAGAGAGCTCACAAATGTTGGAATAAAAAGATTGACAAGCGTTAAACGTTGTAATAAGTGTTAAAAGTGTACATTTCCCTTGTGTAGTCCAAATTTCGTCCTACTGTGAACTTTTGATAGACACAAAAACGTTTGATATTCTATCTCTCTGAAAACGACACAGTTCCGGTTCCGGCCATGCTTTTTTTATGAGTTCCGGCCGGAACAGGAACTCTGAAAAATCGGGGTTCCGGCCAGAACTAACCGGTGCACCCCTAATTTTAAGGGCATACAGCAGCGTTGCCAGCCTGACGATTTAGTCCCGCTATGCAGATATTAATATATACTTACAAAACAAAAATGAAAACATCTTGGGTGTTTGTAAGATGTTTTCAGTTTTTGTTGCTATCAAATCGATATAGTACACCAGTTGACTTGGAAGACTCCCTATACCACCCCCTCCCCACAGCCGCCTACTTTATCAACGCAACCACCTACTCTGAAAGAATAATTCTGAAAGCCCTTCAAACTATCTTTTCTTTGCTCACATTTTTCTCTAGAATTATTCTGTGATTGTATTCCTAAATAAGCTACAACTTATTGCAAACATACTTACAGTTTATATGACTCATTTGCAAAATTTAGATTAACCCTTTATGTGGCAATGCACCCAAATGTGCCCTACTTTATTATTTCACTCTGTCTAACGCCAGATTATTTTACTCTGTCTAATGCCAGACGATTTTACTTGTCAGGTAGAGAGTGCTGCCACTCAATGGGTTATTTTCTAAATTTTCTTTAATGCATATATTTGCAAAAGCTTTAGTACTTAGGCATACAATTGCATGTTCATAGGTGAGCGTGAACGTGTGCAGAAGAAAACTTTCACAAAATGGGTGAATTCTCACTTGATTCGCGTCGATGCAAGAGTGAACGAACTGTATCAAGATTTAAAAGATGGACGCAAACTAATTATACTTCTGGAAATTCTTTCTGGCGAAAAGATCGTAAGTAGAGCACTCACTTGCAATTGTTTAATGAGCTGTGTGCACATAAAATGAAACTTTTTGAGTTTTGTTCTTGAAGGGGAAACCAGCCAGAGGAAGAATGAGAATTCATATGATGGAAAATGTTGAAAAAGCTTTGCAATTTCTCAAAGTGCAAAAGGTATGGTACAGTACAGGGTGTCTCAAAAAAAACCAAAATCATTGAAATAACGTATTGTTCGAATTTCAATGCCGTGACACAAAGGATTTTGACAGGGTGATTAATTTGTTTTAAAAAATTAAAATATCTTTGTAAAGTGAACGTTTGTTTGCTCATGGGAATTTAAAAATGCTTCGTAAATTGTAATATGCGTAATATGCATTCGTGGGTTTAGTACTTTATGCCTGACATAACAAGTTTACGCTGAGTATTACCATTCATTATAGCAGTTATGTCAATCTTTTATGCACTCGTGGGATTAACTTAGTGCTAGGGCATTGAATATCGAACAATACATCAATTTCAATGATTTTGTGTTTTTTTTGAGACACCCTGTACATTGATGTTTAGACAGCTGTGATGTTAAGGATTACCAGAAAAATTCTGACCCCTAGGTGTAGATGAGGCATGTATAAAGTTCCATGCTTTCTAATAATATAGGTTCACTTGGAAAATATTGGTGCTCAAGACATCGTTGATGGAAATCCGAGGCTAACTCTCGGTCTTATCTGGACAATTATTCTTCGGTTCCAGGTATTCTACGTTCCTTTGCAATTTTTCAAAGTTTTGTGAAGTTTTATATAAATTTTGCAGGCTCATGAGTTATTGATTTTGTTGAAAGTAAATTAATGCATTTTCAACAATGTTTCTTATGAATTCATGATTTTTTGTAGATTCAAGATATTATCATCGAAAGTGACAGTAAAGAGAAAAGATCTGCAAAAGAATCTCTGTTATTGTGGTGTCAATCAAAGACCTCTGGGTATAACTTAACTACATTAGAACAACATATCTTGCACATTGTGGCTAGACAAGTTAACTTTTTCTGGCATTTACAGGTACAGAAATGTGACAGTTACAAATTTCACAACCAGCTGGTCAGACGGTCTGGCATTCTGTGCAATTATTCACAAACACAGGTCAGTTGAATTTTCAATGCTTCATTTTGTTGTCTTTGGTCTAGTGCTTTAATGTTCTGTTTTTGTTTAATTCCAGGCCAGATATCATTCCTTATGAAAACTTCACCAAGAGCACTGCCCCAGAGAACTTGCAAACTGCATTTGATGTTGCAGAGAGTGATTTGGGGATTGCGCCTTTGCTTGATGCATCTGGTGAGATGACATTATCATTATTTTACCATCACCATCACTGCCATAACCACCACCACCACTACTAACCACTGCCTTAATTATTACTACCACCATCATCATTACCAGTACATCATTAGCATCACAACCATCATTACTATCACCATGACTACCATCATCATGACCACCATCTTCTGAATATTACAGGGTCTGAAATTTGCAGTATCCCGATATCCACAGGATACTAAAATTTGGTTTTGGATACCAAACTGTGAATGACTTATATCCCAACTGGATACTAAGAAAATTTCAAACATTAGGAAAATGTTAAGCACCTCTGACAGTCTCCTGATAGCTTTTGAATACTATGAGTTTGCCACCCAAGCCTTTCTTCATATAATGTGCATTTTTGTGGATTAATGAATTGTCTAGTTGTTGACAACTTGACTGAACATTGAATCTCCTGTTGTTACTGTAATTTGTAACAGCGAGAGTTATTGGATGGGACAGGGTAGAATACTTATGGTAACCAGTGTCCAGAAGTGGGATACTGCATTCTCAGGGGGGATACTAAACTTTGAATCCTGATATCCCAGTTGGATACTGAGAAAATATTTAAATTTCAGACCCTGAATTATTATCTCATTTTTTCCTTCAGATGTGAACGTTGACTTTCCAGACGAAAAATCAATTATGACCTATGTTGCATCCTATTACCAATATTTTGCAAAAATGAAGACTGTCGAAGTCAGTGGCTCTCGTATCGGCAAGGTATGGTAACTATCAAATCTTTTTTCAAACGATACTGTAGTTTATTTAATTAGGAAGTTAAATATGTTCCTACTCAGTGAAAAGAGAATACAGTAACTTTTTGACAGAAGTGCCTTTGAAATCATTGCTTTGTATGCCTTTTCGTAGGTGGTAGAGAAAGTCTGTGAGAACAATAAACTGATCACTGAATACGATGTGAATGCTGATGAGTTGATCAAATGGATCAAAGTTACTACCGTGACATTACAGGAGAGAGATTTTGCAAACACGCTAGTTGGCGTGCAACAGCAGATGATGGAGTTTAATCAATACAGAACACAAGAAAAGCCACCTAGGTATGCATATCTAGAACATTTGATGACATTTTCACCCTTATACCTCTATCCAGTATAAATAAAGTTTGTTTAGTTTAGGTTACCTCTTGTAGTAACACTGGATCAATAAGAGATGATCCTTACTGGACCTCTGGGGAGAACAGTTTAGAACTGATAGAGCTATCTAGTATAAATAAACTTAGTTTAGTATCACTTCTGTTGAGAATAGCATAGGACTGAAAGAGATATTTAGTGTTTTCAAGGTACATAGGTATTAATGTGTATTTTATTTTACTTCAAGATTTACACAGAAAGGCAACTTGGAAGTTCAGATGTTTATTTTGACAAGTAATCTGCGAGAAAATCATCAGAAAATGTACAGTCCTCCTGAAGGCAAGATGATCTCAGATATCAACAAAGTAAGGACAGATTTCATTTAACAGGAATTGCTTTGCAAATTGAAGTAAAAATTGTATTGAGTAAGATTACTAAGATAGGTTTATGCAATTAAGCACTTTCGCACAGCAATAAGAGGTGCTCCTGTATGTCTCAACATTTCTCAAGTTGATGATGAGCTGCTGTTCCCAAAAGATAACCGAAACCCCTCGCTATTGTGATGATAATGATATCTCGCTTTTTGTTTGTCAGGGTTGGGATGAGCTTGAGAGAGCTGAACACGAACGTGAAGTTGCGCTTAGAGATGAATTGATTAGGTAATGAGTTATTGATTGACGATGGATGATCTAACTGTCTGACAGATCATTTGTCTTAGTGAAAACTAAGTGAACTACTATATTCAGACCAACCAGCTAGACTAACTACATAGCACAATATATGCTAGCAATGGTTTTGTGAACAAATTAATATGCCAGATACTTACCTGATTGTTCATCTAATGCCATATTTACAGTATACATTGATCGTCTGTGAAGACAAACTTTGCACTCAAGAGCTAGACAAGGTGTACTGTATGGTTTGTCCTTACAGATGATTTGCCTGTTTGTTGTGTTTACCTACAGACAAATGATCAGATGATCCATCCCTAGTAAAAATAGGGTCAATAGTTTATGGTTAGAAGCAAACATATCTAGTACAGGACTTACACAAACAACAAAATTTCACGGATTAGAGTAAAACAATTTAGAACTTTGGTTGTCCATAGACTCCATACAATGATGTCCTCCACTTTAGAAACTGCCTCAGGTATATACTGTGGTATATAACCTTTATTTTGCATTAAAATAGACAAGAAAGGCTTGAAATGTTAGCTGCAAAGTTCGACAGAAAGGTATGTAGATCACAATATTTCTTTATTATTTGTATGGCTGTTTGTTTATTATAATTTTGTTATTTTGTGCCTTCCCCAGGCTTCAATGAGAACGCAGTGGTTAAAAGAAAACAAACGGCTTGTTTCACAAGATAACTTTGGCAATGATTTAACTGCAGTTGAGGCGGCCATGAAGAAACACGAAGCAATCGAATCTGATATTCATGTAAGTGAAGTTTGTACAGTTTGTCTGTGGTTTAAATCCATGCAGGCATAACAATATTGTACTTTGTTTGTGCAGGCATACGAAGCTCGAATCAACGCTTGTGTTGCTCTTTCCGAAGAGCTCGATAAAGAAGAATACCATGATGTACAAAGAATACTTGTGAAGTAAGTTAAGACCTTATTTCTTCTCTTGCCATTTCTGCAATGTCTGCCACCATACTGATACATCTTCTGAGTTCTGATCTTTTATGTGATTTTAAGGAAAGACGAGATTTTGAAATCGTGGCAGGAGCTGTTGGAGCTCGTTGCTGCACGTCGTGCAAGACTCGAGAAAGTAATGAGATTACAAAAGGTTTTCCAAGAAATGATTAATGCCGTTGATTGGATGGACGATATTAAGGTATTTTGTTTGTTTGTTTGTTTGTTTGTTTGTTTGTTTGTTTGTTTGTTTGTTTGTTTGTTTGTTTGTTTGTTTGTTTGTTTGTTTGTTTGTTTGTTTGTTTGTTTGTTTGTTTGTTTGTTTGTTTGTTTGTTTGTTTGTTTGTTTGTTTGTTTGTTTGTTTGTTTGTTTGTTTGTTTGTTTGTTTGTTTGTTTGTTTGTTTGTAAATGGGGAATGACTTTGTAGACACTTTGGAACTTGATTTTCAGGCTAGCTTGCAGTCCGAGGATTATGGGCGTCATTTGCTGGATGTTGAAGATCTCCTACAAAAACACAGTATGATCGAGGCTGATATTGCAGCACAAGAAGACAGGATCAAAGTTGCGGACGATCAAGCGAACTTGTTCCTTGAAATGGAACCGGAGGTCGAAGGTACGGAATTAGCGAATTGGACATCGATCACCGGAATTCAATTGTGCTACAGCAAAGAATTGAAACACTGCGCGTCCTCTAAGACAAGCGTTAAGTCGTCATGAAAATATTTTGTGCACTTAAATTGGATAAGACTCGCTACCAATCCTTGTTGACTCGATAGCTCAATGGGTAGAGCGGCTGTCTAAAGTCTACAAAATCTCAGACATACTATGCAGACGAACTACTGTAGCTAGTAATAATGCGATCTATATACAGACTCTCGCTTGTGTTTGACCATTGACTCTCGCGCACTCTCATCAAATTTGAGCTGTTGAGCATTCTTGCTACGTGCGTGGTTATACCCAGTCAACTTGCATGCAACTCTTGTTTTTATTTAACCCTGGGTATGAGGCTTGAGAAAACCATATGTTACCAAATTGTAGATGTTGACATTGACAAAGACCAGATCAAGGAACACCAAGCAGAGATGGACTCCTCTTACAAAGAACTCTTAGATTTGGCTCAAGTGCGTCGTGCCAGGCTGGAAGAATCGCTCGCTTTACAGAAGTTTTACCGCGATGTAGATGAGGAAGAAATATGGATCTCTGAGAAGGACACGTTCCTGTCTTCAACTGATTATGGCCGTGATCTTAACACAACCATGTTTTTACTTAAAAAACACGAGGTATTACATATTTGTAAGCGTTTTTCACCAGAATACTGTTGTCTTGGTATAATTTCACCTTGGTCACATTTGAAAAGAGTGCTTCCAGTTCGGCTCTACCAAACACCGTGGATTTTCTTCGGTTTTTTCCTGTAGTGGTACTGGATCAGTAAAGGCTAGCTCTTAAGGTCCATACAGACCGAACGCGATTCGACAACGCGACGCGAATTTTCAGTTTTTAAAAACAAATAAAACCGTCAACGGATAAAAATTTTACAAGATATGCAGACCAAATAGCTAAAATTGCTTAAGTGGTTCCGAATATTTAAAAAAACATAGAAAAATATTGAAGTTAAATGTCATTGAAAATTGAAAATTCGCGTCGCGTTGCCAAATCGCGTCCGGTCTGTATGACCTTTACTGTACATCTTGGAAGAACCATTTAGAACAGATAGAATTATCTAGCATAATGTAGTAAGCTTACTTTAGGTTTCCTCTTGTAATGACTGCATACAAATTAGGGCAGGCCCCTTACTGGACCTGCAAGGAGAACAGTTTAGAATGGACCATTTGCATTATAGACTAAATTTTAATCTAGACAAAATTTCATCACAGCTTGAAAGAGCATCACAAAATTAGTAATATTCCAAAGTTTCGTTGCGAAATGTTGTAAAATGCGGATAATATAGCCTTGCGAAGTTTGCAATTTTCCGTCATTTTGTATTACAAACGGGAAATTGATGCCCCAACACCCGATTGGGCTGTCAATTTCCCGTGCGTAATACAAAATGACTGAAAAACGGCAAACTTCGCAAGGCTATATTATCCGCATTTTACAACATTTCGCAACGAAACTTTGGACTATTACTAACTTTGTGATGCTCTTTCAAGTGGTGAAATTTTTGTCTAGATCAAAATTTAATCTATAATGCAAATGGCCATTGTCGGATTATAATCGTCCAATCCGATCCGATGCACACCTCTAGTCTGCATCGAGTTCTTAAGCTTCTTATTCTATTGACTATATATGCTCAAATTTGGTGTTCATTTTTGTAACTAAAAGGGTGTCAGGTTTTCATCGTTTTAGCAACCTTGTAATTTAGTTTCTTGGTAAATCAGCTCTCTTTCAGAGACGTTAAGCCAGGTTTTCATATTGTCCGTCGTAATGGTCGTAAAGATAGAGTCACAATCTTTCTTAACGGCCAGATTATAATAGTTATTACCTGTAAACCACATATAAATATAAGTATTCTCTATTAGAGACCTTAAGATTGACGTTTACGGCAAACGTCGAACCGCTAACGACGTTTTTGATTTTACAACTCTATTATAACAGCTTTTACAGTAGTTTTGAAATATATTAAACAATTATTAAACTTGTGGTATTTATAGCAATGATTTAAAAAGCAAATTAACCACCACCATGGGTAATCTCGTGTTCGTATTTTAGCCAATCAGCGCTCAGAAAGGGTTGTCCGAATAGAAATCCATTTTGATGTATTCAGTCAATTATATCTTTCGTTATTCTTTATGAAACTAGTTGAAATTTTGTAATTATGTTTGCTTATGAGAACTATAACTCTGACAAAAATATGGAATCGAAATAAAATATATTACAGGAGATATTCAGCTGTTTTAATCATAAAATGGATTTCTATTTGACAACTAGTGCCAGTACTTTTCCGCGTATCAAGATCATCTGGCAGTCATGTATTCACCAAAGCAGTAAATTAAAATTTTGCGTTTGAAGTTGACGTTTGGCGTATAAATTTCATGCTTTAACGGCTACCATTAAGCCCTCGTATAGCCGTTCAAGTATGAAATTTATACGTCAACTTCAAACAGTAAATCTTAAGGTTACAGGACACCCTTTTTGGCGTTTTGCGGAAAGTCGCTATTGCGCGCTCAATATAAGTCCGATTTTTATCAAATTTTCATCAAATGTTCTCCAGTGCATGCAAAGTATGGTAAAAGTTGTAAAATTAACAAACAATAAAATAATGTAAGAATTATTCGGGAAAATCTTAGATCGCGGTACCTTTACGCTTTTGAGTTGTGCTCTTGCTGGTTTTAAGTTATATTTATGAAAATATCATTTTTATACAGTAAAATAGTTGTTCTAAAAAATTGTGTTCGGAAATTTTTGTTTATTTCGTCATTCCGCTGATATGGCGATTTCTTTGACGACTGCAATATATTTCTGAATTCTTTGCGTGAATTGCCCTTTATTTTTAAAATATCCAACATTAAAAAAAAAGCCGAACACAATTTTGAAACTGACGTATTTAGCTATGTCCTGTGAAAATTTGAGAAAAAAATTGAATTTGAATATTACATTTTCAATGTTTTTCTTATTGCAGCGAAATGTATTTTACTAAATAACTCTGCGAGTTTTCAACATTTTTCGTTCAAACTTGGTCAGATAGTAGAACTAGTCTAATGCTTTCATTGAAACCAATAAAAAAATTTTAGGCAAAATTAACACTCAAAGGTATTCTGTAACCTTAATTTACTGCTTTGGTGAATACGTGACTAAGTGGTTAATTTGCTTTCTTAAATCATTGCTAAATAGCACAAGTTTAATAATTCTTTAATATATTTCAAAACTGGTATAAAAGCTGTTATAATAAAGTGGTAAAATTAAAAACTTCGTTAGCGGTTTGACGTTTACCGTAAACGTCAATCTTAAGGTCTCTATATGTAGTATTTAAAACACGAGAAGGAATGTTTTATCATATTTAAAACGCGAGGCGCAGCCGAGCGTTTTAGATATGATAAAACGCGAGTTCGAGTGTTTTTAATTAGGATGAACAATTATATAATCATACTAATTAGGATGAACAATTATATAAAGAATACTAATGAAGATGAGTTTTATCAGAGATAAAGTCACTCCACGTGACATATTATGGCTGACATGATTTGCCACAAAGTTTATGAATTTTTAATGAGTATTTTAATTATAATCACTCTACCTATTATCAGTGTTAAACTGTTGTATTTCAGCTGTTGAGAAAGGTCGTGACTCAATATTTACGACCATATATGGAAACCAGGAACAATTGGGAGAGAGATTCACGTCCCCTAGTGTTTGCCACTAGTCGAACTCATGATTTCTTTCCGTTCAGGTGTCATCGTACGTGACGAGTTTGTTGTTCAGTCTTTGTGAAGAGATAAACCGTGTGGGAGGCCACGCTGTAGACAGGTAGTTCTTTGTCATATTCTTAGAGCATAACAGAAATACCTCCGGAGTAAAGCGGGGCCGGAGGGTACACACCCTCTTCCTTTGAAAGGGTGGCTGGCATTCACCAATTATCACATAAATTCCCAGCTGTTAGCGACCCTTACGGCCGAGACACACCGGACGCGATTCGACAACGCGGTGCGATTTTTTAGTTTTTGAAAGTTAATAAGACAGCCAATGAAAGGAAAGTTAGTAAATTTTAAAAGATATGTAGATCAAATAACTCAAAATGTTATAGCTCTTCTAAATATTTATAGCGCTTCCAAAACCTTAACCAGGATCCAAGTTATTGGTCAGTGAAAACTATTGTCCATTGTACGAAAAATAATACAGTTTAAAGATTGTGGTTAACACGTAGGGTTTATGAGAGAAACGTTCTACCAACCCAATAGACCTTTCCCCTTTTGAGTGAAATTTTGTTCTAGACAAGTCTGGACAAAAATTTCATCACAGCTTGAAAGAGCATCACAAAATTAGTAATATTCCGAAGTTTCGTTGCGAAATGTTGTAAAATTCGGATAATATAGCCCTGCGAAGTTTGCCGTTTTTCAGTCATTTTGCATTACAAACGGGAAATTGATAATCAGATGATGAAACTGATTATCAATTTCCCATTTGTAATACAAAATGACTGGAAAACGGCAAACTTCGCAAGGCTATATTATCCGAATTTTACAACATTTCGCAACGAAACTTTGGAATATTACTAATTTTGTGATGCTCTTTCAAGCTGTGATGAAATTTTTGTCTAGACTTGTCTAGATCAAAATTTCACTCATAAGGGTAAAGGTCTATTGAAAGTAGCAGTTGTTCCAGCTTAAAATGTAAGCGTGGTATACAAGACGTGATAATCTGTACGTTGCTGTTGTAAACAGGGCAACGGCGGCGTCTAAAATTACCGTGGGATTTTAATTGTAAATTTCTGATCATTTTCTTGCATTAATATGATATCAATATCCGTCCTCGTTGCACTTTTATCCCGCTTGTCGAGGTTCTTAGTAACAGTATAGTTCTTTATCATTTTGAAAGTGTAGAATTTAAGGCTGTTTCTTGTCACGTTCCCGTACTAGATAAGGCCGTGGTTAAGTTCGCTTTTGACATTCTTCTGTGGTGGGTCAAGGGTGAAAATGAGCACAGTTCCTTGAACTATACCAGTTAATCTTATTGATCCACCCCTGATTTGGACCTCCCCCCTGACCAAAAAAATGGGGTAGGACGTACTCGTGTTCGATCCTCACACTGATTGACATTTCATTTCACCATAATATTGTAATATTTTTTTAAAGTTTGTTCGTTCACTGCAACCATGTATATATCAATCATGTTTCGCTCGCTACTCTGGTTTAAATAAATGATTACAAAGCCCAGTCGAATTGTAATCAAGACCCAACGTTTCGACACTCCAGTTTAGTGTCTTCATCAGGGGTGATCTAAAGTTACAATCGTGGCTTCTTATATACTCAAGGGATGACGTCACATCCCTTGGGTATTTAAGAAGCCACGATTGCAATTTTAGATCACCCCTGATGAAGACACTAGACTGAAGTGTCGAAACGTTGGGTCTTGATTACAATTCGACTGGGCTTTGTAATCATTTATTTAAACCAGAGTAGCGAGCGAAACATGAATATTTTTTATGTAATATTTTTTTATTTGATAAATATTTGTTTTTCTTCTCAGATCAATTTTACGTGACTTAGTTCGTGGATTGAGTGAGGATGTGTTGAAATGTTATGAAAACCTTTTGGCACGTTACAAGAAAGACAAAGATGTCATTGATCAAAATCGAGCACTGCAAGCCATATTTGATTTCAAGTTTTTGTCTTCGGTGTTCGGTGATCGTTCAAAAACCGAGGTAGGATATCTTCTACAAACTTATCTGTCTTTATTTGGTTAGTGCATGTTCCGTTTACCTCTGTGACCAATCATTCATTCATACAATATACAGTTATCTGTTAATATTACTACTGTACGTCTAAGTCTGCTTATATTTTCAGTTGTATGTATATCTTCCACAGCTGTTTGTCTTTTATTCTAAAAGCTCACTCACACTCATTACACTCAAAGAGTGGAGGTTCAATCTGAGCTTCCCTTGAGCATGTCAGTGCTGTTTTCGAATAGCTGGAGGGTGAGTAGTCACATATAGTAAGGTACGATACTAACTCTCCAGCTATTCAAAAGCAGCACTGACACTCAAGGGGAACTCGAATTGAACCTCCACTCTTTGAGTTTTAGAATACAGGCATAAATAAAATTAATTTAGAAAATTTAGAACTGATAGAACTTTCCAGTTTAAATAAAGTTAGTTTAGATTAGGTTTCCTCCTGTGGTAACACTGGATCAATAAGAGATGATCCTTACTGGACCTCTAGCGGGAACAGTTTAGTAGTAACACTGTAGTAACAATGGATCAATAAATGATGACCCATATTTGGTCTCTAGGGAGAACAGTTTAGGACTGATGGAACTATCCAGTATAAAGTTCGTTCAGTTACAGTAAGAACTGATACAGTTTTCATACGCAATTGTAAAGTTCTATGTTTTGTTTTCAGGATAATAATAGTTCTTACAAATCAAGATTTGAAAAAATTGTTGAAGAATTGGAGGATATTGTGGATCCATTTGATTTAAATGTTTTCTCTCCTTATATCAGCAGTAACCTGAATAAACATCTGCAACGATGTGGGGTGGGTATAATGCACACATGTTAACATATTACATTATTAGCACATACCATACTTTTCTGGTTACGATACCATGCCATACCTTACTATGTATTACCATACCATGCTATCCCACCATTCCGCACCATACCACATCACAATGTACCACACCAAGGCATACCACACTGTACCATACCATACCATACCATTTCATTCCGGACCATACCAAACCACACCATACCATACCACATCATACCATACCACATCATAACCATTCTGGACCATACCATTCCAGACCATATCACACCATATTACTCCATACTATACCATGCACCACCATACCACACCACACTGTACCACACCATAGCATTCTGGACCATACCGTACCATATCATACCATACCATACTATGCCCCGCCATACCACACCAGTCACCCCAATGTACCACACCGTACCACACAATACCACTATTCATCAAATCGCTAACCAACTCTCTGTTTCCCTTTGTTCCCTAAGGTTCTGTTTGGTGTCCTCCTAAGTATTGACAAACATTCCCAGTTCTATGGCATGCCTCAGAGACCAGGCAGAGGACCTCAGGACCAACACAATGTCATGCCTATTGCTATCAACCCAGTGAGGTTTACACTGCTACCGCTCAGTTCACATCATACGGAGAAAAGTGAAACACAAAATACAAAGGTAAATATTGGGTAGTATAGTGGCTAGTTTACGTTATCAAAATTTCTTAGAACGAAATACGATTTTATCGAAGTGTGTGAAGTTCAAACTTAAGCGTTAATGTGCCTTTCACCCTTGTCCAGGATTCATTTTCTGCATTAAGTAGTTGTCTGATCATAATTTCGCCTCGGTCGCATGTGTGAGAAGTGCTTCCAGTTTGACTCTACCAAACACTGTAGGTTTTCTCTAGGTACTATATGGCATGGCTGGATTTTGAGGGGAGGTGTGTGGAGGTGCGCACCTCCCCAGAGATTGTTTTGCACCTCCCCATAGATTTGTTGCGCCTCCCCTGAAACGTCATGCACCTCCGCTTGGGAAAGGTTTAATGATAGATCAAAGTGAAAATGTTTCTGCGTTGCTTAGAGTCTACACTTGAACTATCCGTATCAAGTGCCCTTTGATGGAATATTTCGAAATAAACTTTGTAGTAATGTAATGAAGAGCAATATTGGATGAGTCCTACAGTCGTAATTCATAAATACAGTGATACATATGTATATGTACTGTAGCCGCCTATTAAAGTCAACTACATGCATACATCATATAGTTGACTTTAATAGGGGGGGGGGGGGCTACATTCTAAGTCCTAACATTCCATGGGGGCCGTGAGCTAGACGCTGCACCTCCCCTAAATATATTTCCACCTTCCCCAGCATTTCCACCCAAATCCAGCCTTGCTATATGGTTTCCTCCTGTGTTAACCTTGGATCAATAAGGAATGACCCAGACTGGACCTAGCGAGAACAGTTTAGAACTGATAGATCTTTTCAGTTTAAATAGAATTAGTTTAGTTTAATTTAGTTTAGGTTTTATCCTGTAATAAAACTGGACCAATAAGAGATGATCCTTGCTGGACCTCTAGGAAGAACAGTTTGGAACTGATAGAGCTATCCACTATAAATAAAGTTAGTTTAGTTTAGGTTTCTTCCTGTGGTAACACTGGATCAATAAGAGATGATTCTTACCGGACCCCCAGAAAGAACATTTTAGAACTGATAGAGCTGTCCAGTATAAATAAAGCTAGTTTAGATGTCCTCCTGTTGTAACATTGGATCAATAAAAGATGACCCTTACTGGACCTATAGGTACAGTATACATGTAGAACAGTTTAGAACTGATAGAGTTGTCCGGTATGAATAAAGTTAGTTTAGTCTAGGTTTCCTTGTAATTATTCGTTTTTTTCTTTCCCAGCACACGGAGACTGACGAAAATACGAACAAAATGACATGCAATGTTCCGTTTTATAAACACCAAGAATTCTTAATGAATGAAATACTATTAGATACTGCCAGCCAAGAAAGTTGACAAGATCATGCATAAGGTACTTAATTGTGTAAAAAATTAGTAATATTTGTATAATCTGTATATAGAGTATACAGCAATCAGGTCTTGACACCAGTCAATGTGCGAAAAGATTGATCACTCGGCCAAACTATACTCTGGTTATGATTTTAGCCAGAGTAAAGGTTAATTCCCAACAGGGTTGCCCACCTTACATAGTCTGCATGGTAAACTTAATCAGGAAGTAAATCCTGGTTACATGTTGTTCAAAGATAAATGGGATGATCAGCAATTTAATCCAAGTATTTTTAGAATGTATCAATATTAAAGGTTTTTCCATCGGACAGACATTTCAACTGTATGTAGTATTTAAGACCTAACCGTGGAAGAGACAGGAATCGAACCTACGGCCCTGTGATTCCAGTGCAGCTACAGAGACCAGTTGTCGAGCTCGTGCGGATAAACTACAAAAACTACAAAATCGTGCCGCAAGAGTACTGACGTCATCCAGTTATGATACAAATGCCGATTATCTGTTTGAAATACTTGGTTGGAAAAATCTTGCATCTCAGCGTAAGATCGCCAAAGCTATCATGGTATATAAATCTGTGAATGGCCTTGCACCAGATTACCTCTCCGAAATGTTTGTTGATCGCAGTAACATTACAAATTATACGCTGAGAGACACCACCGGCAAACTTGCGATACCACAACCGCGTACAAACTATTTGAAAAATAGTTTTAGTCATACAGTGGTGCGGTACTGTGGAATTCTCCTCCTACAGAATTACGGCAGGCTATAGCTCTTTACGTAAATTCAAGGCTGATTGTAGCAACTTCATTCGATAATTTTAATATTTTTACTCCTATCTACATTATTTTAATAATGCACGGCACTCATGGAAAACAGGTATTAATAATGTATTTCCATATATTTTGTTATTTGTAATGTCCCTTGTCTATTTTATTGTAAATCCTGATGAGTCTACCGTGGTTAAATAAAGTTCACTTACTTACTTACTTAAGCCGCGTTCACACTAGCGGCCCAGGCCTGGCCTGGACCTGGCCTGGGTCTAGGTGTGAACGGGTTTTACCTGGCCTGAGCCTGGCCTAACTCAAGAAATCCAGGCCAGCAAATGTAGGTCGCCTGGACCTGGCCTTGGCCTGGCCTGGGCCTCGATCATCACTGGTGTGAACGGGTTTTTCCTGGGCCTGGCCTGGGCGAGGCCCCGTTACCATCGCAATATCTGCCCACGATAAAAACTGGTCAGATGATTGTCATACAATTGGAGGGGAAAACATTCAAAGCGCGAAATTAAATACTTTAGTGGAACACAAGGACGTTTATATTGACGCCTGATTGCTTTGGCCTGGAGTTGGGCGTCAAGCCAGTGTGAATGCGTCACAATTGGCCCAGGTCAAGGCCAGGTCCAGGCCAGGCCTGGGCCGCTGGTGTGAACGCGGCTTTACTTACTTACTCTATGGGGTTTCACCTGTGATGTCGTGGGTTCGATTCCCGTTGTGGACGTTATGATGTGAAAAGAGTCATTCAACGTTCTGTCGAAAGTCGTGAGTTTTCTCCGGGTACTACGGTTTCCTCCCACAGGGAAAGTTGACAGGGCTGGTTGGGATGAGTCCCTAAGCTGGGATTAGCCCTAAACTAACCCTTCCATCGTAGATCAGACGTGAGTCGTGAAGGTGGCTGCCAGAGGCGCCCCTAGAAAGCCTTTCACTCGATCACGCGTTGATAGTCAATATAAGTACATGGTCCTGATCAAAGTAATTGCAATCGATTTGTTTTCAGTGGTAAAGTGTGAGAAAAGTTTTTCTAATTAACATACTAAAAATAAAAAAAAATCCCTTCGGTGGAACATTTTGAAAATCGAGTTTTTCTCACTTCTACCTATAGAAAACCATTGTGGTTAGAAAATTGACATGATATTACATTGTCTAGAGTTGCTAATTCAGTAAATAATGTTCAATCTAAGACTATGCAAACTACTTCTAACATTCAAAACCTGCTCTTGCCAAACAGGAGTGGCTTTAAACTTGCCTCACTTAATATCACCAGTTTAGTCAAACATATTGATGAGCTTAGAATCTATCTATCAAATAATGTGATTGATGTACTGGCTATTAATGAGACAAGGCTTGACTGTACGGTTGGTGACAACGAAGTACATATACCTGGATACGAAATTGTTAGGCGAGATAGAGATTCCAATGGTAGATTTGGCGGTGGGGTTTGTTTTTATATTCGTAGCTGTATAAATTCTTCAGTTCGGCATGATCTATCTTTTGAGCAATTGGAAAACCTGTGTATTTCAGTTAATAAACCTAGAGCCAAGCCTTTTCTTATTACCACTTGGTACAGGCCTCCTAATTCGCCTGTAGCAATGTTTAATTATTTTGAAATTCTTCTAGGTATGCTCGATTCCGAAAATATCGAGTATTACCTCATGGGCGACTTCAACTGTGATTTGAGCTCTACAGTCTTATAATGTTCCTGGTAGGCAATCTTGCTCTAGTTATTTACATGATCGTGGTCAACAATTTCGAAGCATTCCAGTACGTATCACTCACCGTCCACTGCCAGTGAACCCAGAGAAAGTAAATAAACATAGACGTGCGTACCGGAGTCAGGTGTTTCGACATCGACATCAGACGGACTGGCTCAGGCATCTGGAGCTGGTCCGCAAAGTAATTCGGTCATAAACTGTTTCTATTCTAACCTAACTGTTGTGCCTACGGTCCCTTCTACTTCTAAATGTGAACTTACAAACTTATTTGATTTTTCCCTTCTTAATGCCAGATCGGTTAGAAACAAGACTATGATTATTAAAGATTTTGTTGTGGATAAAGATACTGATATTCTTGCTTTGACGGAAACTTGGCTCCCTCCAAGCGGGAACGATTTGATTATTGGGGATCTATGCCCAACAGGTTATAGTTTTCTGCATACACCGAGACATGGATCAATCGGTGGGGGCGTTGGTCTCTTATTCAAGGAAAGTCTTAATATTAAGCGTAATGTACAGGAGGTATTTAGGTCATTTGAATACCTTGACAGTTCTTTTTTGAACTTTCTACATATTAGAATTATTGTTGTATATCGGCCGCCTCCTTCATCGGCTAACTCATTGACATCTACTCTATTCTTTGAAGAGTTCTCATCCTTTTTGGAAGGAATTATTGTATCACACGGGCAACTCTTGATAGCTGGAGATTTCAATTTTCATCTGGACAATCCTAATGACCCTCTTACCAAACGGTTCGTGGATCTTCTCGCTTCCTTTGATTTGAAGCAGTACATTTCTGGATCAACACATGCAAGTGGTCACACACTGGATTTAATTATAACGCGATCTGAAGAAAACATTGTTAACCATTACAACATCTTCGATCCTCTGATTTCTGATCATTCAGTTGTGCATTTACAACTATTGATTAGGAAACCGAAGTTTGTGAAGAAACATTTGCTTCTTCGTAATTTGCGGGCGGTTAATATTCATAAATTCAAAACGGATGTACTAAATTCTTTTCTTCTTAAGAATTTTACGACTATGGATTTGGTATCATTGGTGAATGAGTATGATTGTCTTCATACTATCTTAGATAACCATGCACCGATTAAATCCCGGGAAATTACATTGCGCCCTAAGGCACCCTGGTATACTAACGAAATCAATGATAAAAAACGAATTCGGAGGCAACTTGAGAGAAAATGGCATAAAACAAGGACGAATGCTGATTGGAATCGCTATAAACAACAATGTTATGCTGTAAATAAACTTATCGACTCCTCAAAATCGGCTTACTATACCGACTTAATTAATAATGGATCATCTGATCAAAAAACCCTTTTCAAGACTGTAAGCAATTTGCTGCATACAAATACGATTATTCGCTATCCATCTTCTCCTGACCCAATGTCACTTGCCAACTCATTTAGTGATTTCTTCACTCAGAAAATTGTTAAAATACGAGGTGATATCGAAGATGAACTCTTGAGTAAAAACATAGAAAATCCTATACCTGATGCTGATTCATGTCCTTATGAATTTCACACCTTCAGGGAGGTTGGAAAAGACGAAGTGCTCCATTTAATCCAACGTATCGCAACTAAATCCTGTTCTCTGGATCCACTCCCGGTGGTCATGCTAAATCACTGTTTTAAAGACATCTTACCCGTTGTAGCTAGAATAATCAACCTCTCCTTGGAAAGTGGTACAATGCCTGACTCTTTGAAGATTGCTGTTGTTCAACCGCTATTAAAAAAGTACAATCTTTCCTATGAAGAATTCTGCAGTTTTCGTCCAATATCAAATCTGAAATTTGTCTCGAAATCTATTGAGAAAGCAGTTGCTGTACAATTAACTGATTATCTTACTGAAAATTATCTACATGAGAAATTCCAGTCTGCTTATAAACCTTGTCATAGTACTGCAACAGCGCTATTGAGGGTTCAAAATGATATCCTTCAAGCTCTAGATAACGGTGATTCTGTTATTCTTGTCCTACTGGATCTGTCGGCGGCTTTTGACACCGTGGATCATTCAATGTTATTAACAAGACTATCGAAACGCTTTGGCATAAGGGGTCGTGTGTTGGATTGGCTTACCTCATACCTTACATCCAGGAAACTGTTTATTCGTGTTGAGGGAACTGATTCGTTATTGAGTGATCTTGATTGTGGTGTACCTCAGGGATCTGTGTTGGGTCCTCTGTTGTATTCACT